CTTCTCATTTCAATGCGGGGGGGGGGGTTGCTGCTGGTGCCTCCACAGCAGGGCTTACCTCCTCTGCACCAGACATGGTATGGCCGCCTGGGAGCCTCCTCCTCGGTGCTGGGAGCAGATCATCTCCTCTGCTGGGGTGGTGGTATGGTGGCCCAGGCCTCATGTTTTCAAAACAAAGCATTGCATTTATTGGCATCCCTCCCCAAACCTGTTCCTTCTCACTTCACCTCTCATGAGGTGGTAGCATCACCTGCCCAAGTTCTCAAACCAAAAACCTTAAAAATTACTTTCTTTTCTACCTTTGCCTTCACTATTTCCTCAGTCTCTTCCTTTCAATGCAGTAGACCTATCTGAAACTGTAACACAGGCTTCTCACTGCTTCCTTTCTCTACTACTACTTCCAATCCTTGCCTCAGTGACTTACATTACTCACATTGTTGCCAATATCTCCTACCTGTCCTTCCAGTTCCCAACCTCACCAGCTGATTATTATTTTCTATATTGTGAATTGAAGGGTCTTTTTAAAGCCATTTTTCACTTGATATTTTTTAAATTATAACTCATTTTATTTCATTGGAAAGAAGAAAAACAGTACAGATGTGTATAAAGACAAATCTAGTCATCCCCACATTAGCCCATGATCCCCTGAGGTAATCTATTAATTAATGGCCAGGTTTACCTTATCTTTTTCCTCATCGATTTCCTTGTATACATGAACTTATACAAATAAATGCAGATTATCAGGTAAATTGATTTTATTTAAGATACTCATTACTCTGTTAGCTTTTATTTTTATTTTAAATATCAAATTATATCATCTCCAATTGCTGCTTAAAACACTTCAGAAGAGATCAGGCACATTCAGGGTGGGATGGATGTAGACTTAAAAAGGCTTCAAAGGCTTTCCACAACATTTAGAATTTTTTTTCCAAAAGATTGTAGACCATCTATTTAATTTGGTAAGTAAGGCAAGTGTAAGGATAAGAGATATTCTACAATATTTTACATATTGTTGTATTGAATTGAATTCAATATATGTATATAGAATATATATTGAGTTTTCTATTTTAAAAACCATTTATCGAATACTTGCTAAGCCAATGCATTCAGTTCCACAGTAATCCCCTGAGGATTTCACCCTCATCTCCTCTGTTTTGTGGGTGAGGAAGCAGGTTGGAAGCGGAGCAGGATTTGCACCATTCAGTAGATCAATCTGACCGGTAACCAGGTTCCTTTACGGCAGCATCTCACTGTGCCTGTGTCTCATCTCCCAGGCCATACTGGAAGTTCTCCCTGGGAGGAGACTGATTCCTTTTGCATACCCCATGGTGCTATCTATCATGGTCCTCTGAACACATCTCCGGGCTAAATATTTGTTGAAAATGAATTGGCTGAGAGCCACTTGATTTTTGTTTGTCTTAAGGTAAGGAGGACTTGGATGTGTTTCAAGGAATCAAACAAGGGCAAGTGTAGTTATTGGAGATGTTACAGAGGGAGGAATTATTGTGGTTTCAAGGTTAACTAATCAATAACTTTATTGACTGCTTTTTCCTGCTGAGTATATATAGAGATCCAGTAGGAGGCCATAGGAAAGTTTGGCTTTACAGAAATGTGGAAAGTTTCCCTTCCAAGAGCACTGGAGCAAGCAGGCACCACACAGAGATGAAGCAGGTATGTAGACGTATACATAAAATAGACTGGAGTCTCAGCACCATGGGCCTCCCAGGCTGACAAACCCAGTCCTATTTCATTAGGTCCTGGGCAAGAGTTTACTCTCAATTATTACCCAAATTTTACCATCCTGATGGTGATATTGTATGTGCTACTTTATGTGCCATAATATGGATGCTTTCTTAATTTTACCACCACTAGCTTTTACAAGCAATGTTTACCACATTATCACATTGCTTATGTTATATTACAAAAAATCTGACAACATCAGCAAGACCATCATGTACTCATGCTCAGTATTTAGCAGTAAAATTTAAGTGTCTGTAAGTACAATAAAAATGTAAAAATTATATACCCATGTAATGCTTAAATGTGTGTTCCTCAAAGAAGTAACTACCATTTTAAAAATGGTGTAGGGCGGGGGATTTAGCTCAGTGGTTCTGCCGCTTGTCTCACAAGTGCAAGGACCTGAGTTCAATCCCCAGTACCAAAAATAAATAAACAAATAAAAAATAAGAAATGCTGTAATAATTTGTCTTTATGTTTTTCAAATAGGTGAGCATAATATAAATAGGAGCACCCTTGTGAATGTAGCATTCCAGCCCCTCACACAATCTTCAACAATTAAGGAATGGGAAGAAGTATGTAGAGTAAGTATGAAAAAACCTGTATCTCCCTCTGTCCATTCTTAACCAGGACAGGGAAAACTTGATACAAGAACAGGAAGTCTTACTGGTATATCCTCAAAAGAATATTGGGCTGATCTCCAGAATCGGTAGACAACCCTTGTATTGGACTGATTTGGGGTCAGGAAAGTTCCTGAATGTTCCTCCTCCCTATTTCACTGCTGAATTCTCCATGTATTTCCAAATCTTAAACCCAATGTCTTCAGTTTGATTTTTTTTATGTCCTAGTATGGCATTGATTTCCTCTTTGACATTTATGTCCCACTTTGAACATTAAGTTTACAAATATCCTAACAACAAAGCTACGAAGGGAGTTTAGGCTTTCTGAGCAAGTTCTAGGTGTTTCACACATTATTCCAGTGAATATTTTGATGCTTGGGAATTATTGTACTGCCAAGTTTTGACTACAGAAATATAGGTTGAAACTGACTTAGAGGCATCTTTACACTTGATTTACACTTAAAAAGGGCACATTTTAGATGAAAATGTAAGAGAAAGCTCTTATTTTTAACAGGTAAAATTAAGCCTCTTATAATATGTATTTGCTCAGCTGGTATAGGCCAAACTAGGAACTAAGAAAGTGAATGGCTGAATAGGGGATGAGGAATCAGTGAGCTAGCAGTCTGCCAATCTCTTAACAAGCTGTCAGTAAATAAGGGCAAGTCACCTACATTCAGATCAATTTCCTGAACTAGAAGAGACAACTTTCATCAATGCAATTGTATTTCACAGCTTTCCTATGCGTTTATGTGCATTATGATTTCCTAAGTGAACACTCCAAAGATTATGACAACTTACATTCTCACCAGTATTTTGTGTTGTCCTTTTTCCTTCATCTCTGCTAACTTTGGGTGAAAGTGATCTATTTGAATAAATTTTCACTATTCATGTTTTTAAAAAAGGACAGGAAGCTGAAGACAGCCCATCTCATTATCAGGATTTAGAGGAAATAATTGAAGGAATATTTTCCAGACTGTCAGACTGCATCTTTCCTAGTTAGTAAAAACCACAATTGAAAACTCCACCTTATATGAAATTTCCATTTACGTTTTGGTCTGGGAGCAGAAATGAGTTTGAATGGGCCCCTGTTTTATTTGGACAATGTGGGGAGTTCCATATGGGAGTTCACTGATAGGTCATATTTGGATAAACTAGCCAATTCCCCACACTTTAAAAATGATTATTAGACATTGAAAAAGAAGTAGATTTGGAAATGACCTGGAAGCCAAAATTGAGAAATACTTTGTGCCAGTTTTCAGATAAGCATGACTGTCCATTAGTTTCCCTGGTCTTTTAGTGAAGCTGAGCTATTGCCCATGAAGCTTTCTGTGCAAGGCCTATGGAGAAATGATTTGAAAGCGCTGCATGGTTGAATGAGCTGAAGAGTAGAATGTCCATCGTGTACATGTCCCAGGCTCATCTGCAACATCCAGTTTTCCACCTGACCACACAAAAATGGCTTAGCTATAAATTATTGTTTTAGTGTCAGCAAATAAAGTTTTCATGGGCCGTATTTCTTTTTTAAAAATATACTACAGTTTTGATTAAAAAAAAAAAATCTTTGCATAGTATTTTTCTTAGGGTTTTTCCAGTGGATCCTGGAAGGCTTGAAATGAATAACTTTCCTCTATAAAGCCTTTTTAAAAAATTCCAATTTCTTGCTGCATTTTTATGAGTGTCCTAATATCCTAATCTAGTCATAGTACAATCATTTTCATTTATACTATTAAATTGTATCCACAGTACCAAATTAAACTCTTCTTTTAAATGAAATCAGTGGTTAAAAATTAACCTTCTGAATAATAAACATGCATGGTTTTGATATACGTAACAATTAGTATGTGTTTGACAGATTACAGTTTACAATGACTCTTTGGAATACTTTAACCACTATCACCACAATTCTTCAAAGTAGCTGTTATTTTTCTTCCTATTTTGCAGGTATGAATTGAGCCATACCAAGAATAAGTGACTTACCCAAGGTCACACACCAATAGCTGGTGGAACTGGAACTTGCTCCATATTTTTCAGATTCTAAATTCATTTACTCCAGCATTCAACAATCACTAAAGAATGCAGGGTTGGCACTGTGCTGTCTTTTGGAATATAAGAAACAATAGGACACAGTCCCTGCCTTGGTAAAGCTTACAGTCTAGGGTGGGGAAGATAGTCAAGTAAACAAGAAACAGTAATACAGGCTTGGCTATGGTTTATTAAGGAAATTACCGGGAATGATGGGATCGCTTGAGGGACCCCAGCCCAGGGGCACAGAGGCAGTGATGAGTGGTCAGCAAAAGCTTCCTGGAAGAGAGGTGTCTGCTATGAATCTAAAGACATAAGCAGAATTTGTGGTGCAAAGTGGGGAACAACTTTCTGGGCTGTGGGGATACCGTGTGCAAACACAAAGATAAGCTGTGATGGCCAACCCTACTCCATCTTGTGCCTCAACGCCATTTTGTACCTGTGCTTGAACAAAGCACTTGCACTTGAACAAAGCATCCAAAACCCCCACATCCTGCTTGGCAGTAAACTTGCTGCAGTTGCAGGACACTTTGTAGCTCACCTAATGTGTATGAAACTTCCTTGTGCCCCCCACTAACCTGGCATGGTTCTGCTGCTATAAGATTCTGCTTGGTCTCCCCTGAGCCCTCCGCAACTGAAAGCATTATTTAAAAGGAGAAATCAAACTGCTTCCCATTGCTGAGGAAACTTCTGGGCACTAGCCCCCCTTGGCCACCGGCTATAATAAATGGGCCCAAATCTGGCAGAGTGTGGTGCATGTCTATTGTTTGAACTCACTCGTCCATAACAAAGCCATAGTCTTGTCTGAGGAAAAGAAATGTTACACAGGCCAGAATGGCCCAACCACTGAGTGAGGATGAGAGTTCAGGAAAACCAAGCAAGCTGGACCTTGGGACCATGTTAAGGCTCTTGTAGACGTTCATGTTGGAGAGAGTGACGTGTTAAGTACTACAAGTAGCAAAGCCAACACATCAGGGTGTTCAGGGCACATGAAGAAATCCCGCAGGCTCAATGGCTTAAACAGCAGAAATGTATTTCTCATAGTTCTGGAGGCTGGAAGTCCAAGATCAAAAGGCCAGCAGAGTGGGTGTCTGAGGGCTCTCTTCCTGCTTGTAAGAAGCCAGCCACCTTCTTGCTGTGTCCTCACGTGACATTTTCTCTCTTCCCCCCATACACATATACATGGAGCATGGGGAGAGGATATCTTTTTCTTTTTTTAAAAGCACATGACTCATCTAAGGCACAACCCTATGACCTAAATTAACCTTAATTACCTCCTTAAAGTCTGTATTCTAAATATAGTCACATTAGGACATCAGCTCATGAATTTTGAATATGTATACAGCATATGAATTTGGAGGGATAAGCTACATTTAAAAGTCCAGTCTGGCAGGAGCATAAAGAATGGATGGGAGAGAAAGCGAGACTGGCATAAGTAAGGATAGGACATTGAAAGAGGTGATGGATGATAGTGGCCTGAACTGATGCTGGTGACCAGATATGTAACAATTCCATTTGGTGACCAAAAGCCAGGCCTGCCTGACTGTTATCTAAGATTAGCAAGGCAACCGAAACACTTAGAGCAACCCTGCAACAGCCAAAGGACCTCCAATTATGCCAGTACTGCCCAGTTGGCAGCTAGTTGTCTTTGAATTGCCTTACACTTTACCTTCTCCCGATACACAGAAGCCCCTTTTTGATAGTATTCTTCCCTGCTTAGTAAAAAACATTCTACTGACACATGGTAGACACCATAGCCACCCTGACTTGTTTTATTTGAGTCAGTTATAGTTATCTGAGGATTAGACAGATATTGATTCATGTCATGCTGTATGTCTTGGATTCTCATCTAATCCAAACATTGCCAAAACATTGTCTCCTAAATGCGAAATTATTCAGCGAATAAATCACAGTGTGAAGCTTTCAGGCAAGACATGTTTAGGAAATGAAATTTAAGTAGGAAAAAAATCACAAAAGGGATAAAGCAAACAATTGTTATTCAGAAAAGAATCGCTTATCACCTGGTACATGACCTTGTACCAATCATGTGGCCAATGAAAGGGAAATGAAAATTGAGGAAGTCTGCTCGGTTAAGCACGATATCATTTCTTGCTATTTACAGAGGATAAAAATCTAATCACCTCAGCATGGGAAGAAAGGTCTTTCCCTCCCAGTTTGATCAGTCTCCTATTTTCCCCATATAAACATTCCTCTCCTTGGAGTAACCTCTTTATTTGCCTGAGTCAAATTTCTGTTTATTCCACAAGTCTTCACTTAAGCATAACTTCCTCTTTTTAAAACATTTTATTTTATTCTATTTTATTTTATTAGTACATGTTTGCAGTACATGCAGCTTACAATCATCTTGGGGAGTGGGTACCTGTACATACCACAGCTTGGTTCCTTTTTGAACCCCTTTCCTCTTTCCTTCCCTTCTCCTCCTCTAATCCCCTAACCCAACTTTCATTCTTATTGATATTTTTAATCTTAGCTCACGTTATGGAATATAATGTTTGTATTTATAGAGGTTATTGAGTTTCTGTGCACAGTTCCTTCTTGACAGATTTTCTGCTCTTCTACATCCTTAACCCACTCCATTCTGATTTCCTTCCCCTCCATGTCCATTGTACCACAGTGGTTGCCCATGATGGATGCTGTCTTAGTCCATTTTGTGTTACTATAACAAAATAACCAAGGCTGTGTACTTTATAAGCTAAAAAGTTCATTTAACTCAAGTTGTAGAGGTTCAAGAGCATGGTGCTTGCATCTGCTCCATTCTGGTGAAGCCCTAATGGCTGATGGTGTCACAGTCCTGGGAGCACATGCAGAAGATATAACATGGTGAGACAGGAAGCGAGAGAAATTCAAAAGAGGTGCTAGGTTTGTTTATAACTTTCATGGGAATCCCTGCAAGAGCAAGAACACACTCCCTGGGAAATTCATTCATCCCTTTTGATACCTAATCACCCCTCCAGCCACCATCTCCTAAAGGTTCCAGTACCTGTGAACATGTCCATGCTGGGGGCCAAGCATCTAGCACATGAACCTTTGGAGGACAAGTTCAAACCATGTCCAAACTATAGGAGAGACATATACCACAGTTGGCCCTCATTCTGCACAGATTCTTTATTTCAAACATGCTAATTGTTAAAATTTTTGTGACTCTCATTGTGGCACTTTGACAGCCATTTGGGTACATGTGCACAATGGCAAAAAGTTTGTGTCACCTGACACATACTTCCAGCTGAGGTCAAACAGAGTGACATTTTGCCTTTTTCTCCCAGCTCTCAAGAGTACAAAGAAGTGTCCTCTCATGGCCTGTTTACTGCCTTATTTTCTCATGTATTTTTGCTGGTGATTTCACTGTCTAAAATGGCCCACAAGCATAATAAAGTGCTGTGTAATGTTCCTAAACACCAAAAGCCTGTTTTACCTTAAGGAGAAAACACATCTGTTAGGTAAATTTCATTCAGACATGAATTATAGTGTGCTATTTACTGTGAGTTCAATGTGCATGTCTTTTAACTTAACATTCTAAAATAAAGTTACATATTGATCGGCTGATTAAAAAACTGTTGTGACCAGAGGCTCACAGGAACCTAATTCTTTCTATACAGTATTTCCCTTTGAAGCAATTTAGTTCAGTATCAGACAATCCAGTATTAAGAGTAGCTTTATAAAATATAACTTGTAAATAGCAAGAATTGACTATATTTGGTTATTTGTGTGCCTGTGGAATTCTTTGAGAAATGGTACCATCATTTTTGTATACCTACCATTTGTAAAATTATTAATATTGATGATAATACCAAAGGATAGTTCATTTAGTAAATTGGTCATTGCAGGTTCTTCCTTATTCCAACTTCAGCAAGAATGCCTGTTCAAAGGCCAAATGATTATAGGTCACTTTTTAATACTAGCTTGAGCATTAGATCTTAGGGAATTGTTAATGGTTTTGAACATTTATTTACTTTAAAAGACTGTAGGATTACTGGGCTGAGAGTTTTGGAACTTTGGGAAAAATCAAAATATATTTAGTATAATGAATTAGAAAAGCTCCTTAAAACAAAACTTGCTAAAGCAGTGAGTTTCAGTGGCAGCCTAGGAAGTTTGACTTTTAAGAAGGACATTAGTGATTATGATGTAAGATATTCACAAACTGTACTATGAGAAACACTGCCATATCAGCTGCTCCTTATCTGGCTGTCCTTTCTGGAGATTCCCAAAGTGAACTTTAACTGTTCTTTTTGGAGAAGAATAAAATATTTTTTGGCAAATGATAGGCTCCATGAACTATAAATCTTTTCCAATGTATGTGTATTTACAATAAACTCTATTAGGTCTATTTCATTTCTTTTTCACTAAAGAGTAGGTGATGATCAATTTGACTAAGAGCAAGTTCAGGTTCCTTCCCATTCATGATCTCTTTTAGGTATTTCTTTGTGCTCTTATCCCATGAAAGCATTATGAGCTTCTGTTTTGGGGGCTCTCAATGCTAAGCTTTAAGGTACCATCAGAACAGGCGAGATTATGCTGTGGAAACACCAAACACTCTGTGTTTAAAAATATAAATGTTTATTTTTTCTAAAACTATAAGTCCAACTTGTAGTGGCTGGGGACAATGGTCATTAACGTTCATCCAAGGAGCCAGGCTGATGGAAGCAATGGTTCAAGGGGGCCTGGCTACTGCTTAACCTGGAGACAGACCTTGACATGCTCGATGTGATGCTGATTTTACCACCAGGAAGAATGCTAGAGTTGTGGAGTTATGAAAGCTCCCACCCAAAGGAGGACCTAGGAAGTTAGGCAAGGAGCCCCTGGGAGGGCAGTCTGTGAAGCTGTGGGAATGAAGCTAAATGTGCAGTGCAGACTCCAGGAAGTGAGAGATGCTGGAAATGTGGAAAGCTGCAGGCCATGAGTAGAGCCAACCAAAAAGAGGTCATCTGGTATGCAACTGGTGAGGGTATAAGAATGGGGCTGCCCAAGCCCTTTACAACCACATTTTACCACCATGTTTTCTACATGCTCTGTATGTAGCTACCAGACCTAATGTTTGCCCTGCAGGGTTTCAGTCTTGCTTTGGTCCTGCTTGTTCCTATCTCCCTATTCTTCTCTTTTGGAATGGGAATGTTTACCGTGTGCCATTCTTGGGATTATGTAACTTGTTTTTTTCCTTTTAACAGAGATTCACAGTTAAGTCTGTGCCTTGAGTCTCAGAAGAGACTTGGACTTGGACTTTTGAAAAATGCTGAATTACATAGATATTTGGAAAAGGATTATTGCATTTTCAGTTGTACACAAAATAGGTGCATCGTGTTAGGCAGAATTATGATTTTGTGTTTATTTGGGGGTTAAGAATGATTTAAGGAGATTTGGGTTTCAAGTTGACAAGGGGTGGGATGTGACAGTTAAATTTGATTGTGTCAACTTGATTGGCTTAGAAGCTGCCCAGGGGATTGGTGAGGTACACTTATAGGTGTGTCTGGTGGGTCGTGGTCCCTTACCCTTTCTTCTCTGGTGCTGCTCTCTTGCTCTGCTTCCTGGTTACTATGAGCTAAACAGCTTTGCTCCACCATGCTCTTCTGCTATGATGGTCCTGCCTTGAAGCCAGCCACTCTTGTACTGAATCCTCTGAAAACATGAGTTACAAGCTGAAAATCCTGTATAACGTACTAAATATTCCAACAGAAGAACAAACAA